TGTGTGTGTGTGTGTGTGTGTGTGTGTGTGTGTGAGAGAGAGAGAGAGAGAGAGAGAGAGAGAGAGAGAGAGAGAGAGAGAGAGAGAGAGAGAGAGAGAGAGAGAGAGAGAGAGAGAGAGAGAGTTATTAGCCAAGGGGAAGCGGGGGATCTGGAGCAGTCAGTTACAGCACCTTTAATTGAAAAGACCCCAAAAACATAATTAAAACCGCTATTGTATGACAAATTCCATGTGGTTCCACATGTAACTTAGCCTGGTGTGTGCTCATAAACAGCAAAGTAGGCTACAGGTAACCTACTTGTTGACATCTGCGTGCTCCAACAAGCAGCCATAACCTAGAAACCTGCATCTTATGGCTTCATGGTTATGACAGGCTGCACTGCAGTTTACGACTCGCCTGTTAAACAGTGGGCTCAGATCCTATCAGCAAACTATTTCACCCCTTTTTTTACAATGTGCACTCCATTTGTTGCCATAGGGACCAGCATAAGAGAACTCGAGCCCCAATAAAAATCAGTCAAATGTAAAAAATGAAGCAATAATCTTGTGATGAAAAATCACTCAAATGAACTGGACTCGGGGTGAGTGGGCTATGGTAATTCTTTAGTTTTGTGAATGAGTGTAACGTTCAAGGTGACTCGATGCAGTAGTGTGCCTCTGCATGTGATACACACTCAGGCCGCTCGGTGGCACTAAATGCATATAAGTTGTATTGGTAGCAGCATGGCTTTTTCTGCCCTTACTACGTGTTTTACTCTATGGATCTGATTAATTAATGATTCTTTTCAGTTTCACGGTAAAAAAAAGGAAGAAACTACAATATGCAAACAAGTCCAACTTTAGACAATACGATGCCAATTTCTATTATAATAATATACTATATACTCTTCTTTTTTTTTGGCCTAATCATTTGTCACCGTTTATTATCCACTGGCTTCTTTAGTTCACTTCTGAAAATATCACAATCAGAGCTTTATTGGAATTTGACTCCGGTTTACACATTGCACTCAACGTATATTCATGGAATATACAAATAAACAAGAAAAATATAAAAACAAGGACATTAAAGACAACAAAGTAGAACAGAGAAACTATAGACATTAAAGATTTAACTACTTTGTATAATATAGATATAAAGCATTGAGGAAACAATTGCCTACATTAACTCCCTTTTATATATTCACAGCTAGATATGGACAGTGTAGCTTTTGTATTATTATCATGTATTTATGGTGATTTTACGGTCTGACTGTGTGTGTGTGTGCGCGCGCGCACTAGGTGGGGCTTTCCGAGCGTTTGACGCGGTCCAAATCTCGCGCTAGTTCGGTCTCAGTCACCTACCAGTCTTGGATACCCAGTTTTCACTGTTGAGAAACATCAACATAGTAACCCGGGAAAGGCAACCTCAGAGGCGGGTAGCGACATTTATCTCTTGGAATATCACAGATGACCTGGATATTTGGTTGCCCCGACAAACACTGAGACAACAACGATGGGTGCATGTCGCTAGAAAAAGTTGCTAGCTTAGTTGGCACAACTACTAGCTAACATTGGTTTGCTAACGTTAGCTGGCTAGCGCTAACGTTAGCAAACAGACAGCTGGACGAAACTGAGGAAGAAGTCCGGAGAAGTAAGGATTTCCTTATCATTGAGACGTCAGCATGAATGTGGACATCTAGACACGTCGGATTGTTTCCCTAAAGGTGTGTTTTATGTTTCTCCGAAGAGGTGGTCAGCTAAGTTAATTCATGACTTTCCTGTCAGCTCGCATTCACGTCAACTCTCTCGAGTTAGCGGCTCCGACTATTCCCTGGACCGAAGACATTTAGAAATAAGTCATCTTGAAGTCAGATGGTAGAATGAGTCGCAGACATAATTTTCGGACAGTCAACGATTGTACTAGATTAAAAAAATGATTTTTGTGAAGTTCACGTTGTTTTAATAATTATTTGGATTTAAAAAAACAGTAATACCATGGCTGTTAGTTCACCCCCGAAAGTATTTACATTAATGAAGGATTGTGTTGTCTGAGTCTACGAGTGAGTAATTCCGGGACAGGGTGTTTCATTCGTAGAGTTGACTCATTTCTACACTGTTACGTGAGGAGCTAGATGGCCGTTACCTGCGGTTTAATTTAGTATTGACATAAATTATAATATGCAACGACAACAGTGCTGTCGTCAACACCAGCGACAGCTAGCGTTTGAATAGTTTAGATCAGTGTGAACCCACCTATTTCAGGCTCTCGGGTATTTTACACATTATTGTAGAAAATATAAAGTCTCTAAATGGAAGGTAACGTGCTCAGCGACTTATACCTGGTTCAAAAAGGCGATGCCATGTGAATACAAATTAATACTAACGCAGCTGACGACAATGGAGTGATTGTGATTAAAGTTAAAGTCGATACAAACCATTTAAAGTCAAAGATGGCACGTAATTTCTTCCTCGTGTACTGCTAAACAGTCTCATGCACAGTCATGACATTAGTGGTCGGAAGCTATATTGCAACGGTCAATGTCCCTACATGTGTGTTTTGGTAGTGTAGCGTCCAGCCATAGGTTTCAGCACTGAGCCGATAGTGCGGAGCAACACTTCAGTGGGTAAGCGAAGAAGAAAATATGGCCACCGTTTGATTTCACACGGTTTCGTTCGTTTTAGTGGAAATCACATGCACTCTAGCTGGGGAATTGTATTTTGTCTCTCCCAAAGTTCACCCGACATCGTTTATTCTTGTGCTGATGGGTTCAACTTCCCTCCGACGAGTTTTAAATGTTAAAGCAACAAACGTTACTCGCTCTAAATGGCTGAGTTGGATGGATTCTCTCCGACAGCAATACAGGACCAGTATATGGTGCTGAAGGTTGTGACTTTAGACTTTTTGCTCGTGAGTGAATGGGTGGTAGTAAGTCTCACAAGCGTTAACTTGAATTACTAGTCGTTAACTGAGCTTTGGCGGAAGTGTTTCATGTAATGCTAGCATATGCACTTTTCAGTGACAACTTTTGCCCAAAGTAGCTAACGTCAGCATAGCTCCATAGGCAAGAGGACAACCTGAAAATGTTAGTTCTATGTATGAATTTATTACCGTTTACAGATGTACGGTATATAGTTTTAGCTGCTGTTGTCTATTCAACCTTAAGTTGAAGATTCAGTCCCACCTAAATTCACATTACAGAAAATACACAATTATACCATTCATTTGAGTCACGGTCATCACTGACATAGTTTAAGTTTTCTTCCTGATCGCCTCAGGGCCGTGTCACGTGGTTGTTATGAATAAAAGCCATGACTTCTGAAGAACTATTTATGACTCAAAGGGTGTGAAAAACACCCACGAGCTAAGGATCTAGGCTGGATTTGCTTAGTAATCCATGGTGCAGTGAACTGATTAAAGTGGCAAAGTTGTCAACAAATTGGTAGACTGTTGACTCAGGAAGAGAAAACAAAACAATTAAATATAATTTTGTCAATGACTTTAAGAGACTAGTACCTACGTAGGACCAGACACCTGTACTCCAGCTTAATGGGTGCTTTGAGTAAACACCTTATGGCTGACGTGTGACAAACTTTAGTTCCGCCTACCTTCCAACATGGAAACCTTTGAGGAATGTGCTGTTGTAGAACCGGTTTTAAATGGCAGGCTGACATTAGTCTGCTGTCAACAAGCTGACATAATAGTGTTACACTAGTAACTAATTAGGCTCTACAAATTTCACTTGGTTCACATGCTTGGCATGGCTCCCCATCTCGACAGTTGTCACCAATGTTTGTTTCTGTCAGTCATTTTCTTGTTTGAAAGCGCTTGATGTATTTTGGTTGTATATGCTATTCCTTGTTTTTGGTTCCAGTTAAAAAAAAAATGTTTTACCTGCCTGATTGCTGAATTGTAACTGGCTTTGTTTTCAGACTGTGTATATTGTATGCAGTAAAAGAGTTGATTCATGTCACATTTACCTTTGTTCAGTATTGGTTTTCATGATTGGCCTCTGTCTAATATTGGCTTCAGGTGAATGAGAGAGATGAGGAGCAGCAGGAGGACTGATGTGTCTCTGAAAAGCTCTGCTCAGCAGCTTACAGATCACCATAATGGCACAGGTGTGTAAAATATTGAAGTTCAGTTGTATTCTTGTTCTCACAAGCACTTTATTTGAAATGGATTATTGAGACGTGTCATATGAGTTGTTTACATAGCAAGCGGTTCTGTTATCACTGATCAAAATGGATTTTCATTCTCTTTGTCAGAGCTGACAACTGCATGGAAAAGTTTGTCCCAGTCCAAAGCTGCTGTAAGTACACCTTGAACAGTTTTCTGCTGAATGACTTTGTTTGTCAGCTACTCAAAAACTATTTTCTATTTCATAAAAGTTATTGAACACAGTCTGCAACAGATAATGATGATGAAGATGATTCTCTTTCATCATCACATAACCCAAGGAGTCTGACATGTTTCTCCCTCTATAGTTGCGGCATATAGAAAACCGTCTAGAGGCAGCTCCGGGGACAGGGGTTCTCCTGGACTCTGTCATGGACCCTCCCAAGAAGAAATCCTCCAGGACGGTTCACTGCAGGGGTGAGTTATTTCAAAATGTCATCATCACCAGTTAAATTCTACACTCAAGCTCTAACTATTTTAACATCGCTGTCTCTTTCACAGATGGTCAACGAGCTGATGAGCATGGAGGGTCCTCAAAGCGCAGGAGGCAAAGTCAGCAGAGTCCAGAAAAGAGCAGCTCACGCAGCCCGCTGAGAAACGCCACCCAGGACAGCAATGTCCGCAGAAACAACAGCGTGGAGTTCAGGGAGCCGCTAGCCTCCTACAGGTACAAAAACTGCATCAAAAAGAATGTATGAAACACCCGTAGCCTCTTCTCTCTAGGTGAGTTACTCTGGACTGGATATCTGTGGTTGATGCTTTCAAGCACCGATCTAATCAATTTTTAAATCTTCTACAATAAACAAACTTTAAAACTATACCTAAAAGCATAAAGCCTTTATTGCACATTCATTCTAAAACACACTTATCAAAAACACGGTATTTAGATGATACTAATCTATTCATACTATATAGTGTGTTGGCGCTCTATAGAGTGACAACCGAATAAGATGGTGTTTATTCCTCAACTGGGCTGTGATGTTTTCATTGTAGTTATTGCATCAGCTCATTGTTTCAACTTAATACATCAGGAGAGCTCTTTCACCTAAATAACAGGCAGTCCCCCAACGCTCTCTGCTCTTCAAGACTTCCATTCAGAGACCATATGTTGTAGACATCTCCTCTGAATAGCTCGTTGCTAAATGTCTCACAGGTACTTCAGTAGCTCAGGGCTCTTCTGTTTGTAGTAATACTATAAAACCTCTCTGCTATTTGCACATAATTACTGGGGTTCAAATGAGAATATATTTTCAAGAGTTTGTAGAATACAAAAACTACTGGAAGTGTTTCATAATTTCAGAATTCCACTTTTTTTTTCATTCTGTTTATACGTTAAATAGTTTTCATCATTGAACTTCGATACCCTTTGACCACCCATACATGTTCTCTTCTGTACACTCAGTGAGTGGTAAATTAAGAGTAAATCTTGATCCCCTTCCTGATCCCATTTAATCTGGTTTGTGTCCAGAGAGGCCACCCCTCCACCACATCCCTCCTCTCAGCTGGAGGCCTACAGCCTGCACTCAGTGCCAGGGTCTTCGCAGCCATCCTCTCCGCCCCCCTCAGATCCTCTGCTTAGCCAGCTGGTCTACCAGAGAGACACCAGGGATAAACAGACAGACGGGGACCTTGACAGCACACACTCTTCGGCTCTGGAGAGCACAGATGTCCGCTACCTCAATGACCAGCCAGCCCTGGACACCCTGAGGACTATTGGAAACCAGTCGCATCTCACGGGTGTCCGAGTCCCTGCATGGGAGGAGGCTGAGGAGGAAAGCCCTGCAAAAGCACAACTTGGTATGGATAGCCAAGAGTCAAGCCCATGTCCAGCTCCAGCCCCTGGCTCCACACCCCGAAGGGAGAGCACTCCCTCCACCAGTCCAGGCTCAGCTTCCCAGCGGCTGGAGAACCTAAGGCGACATCAGCCGGATGATAAGCTGGAGAAGCTCAAAGAGCGTATTCGAAGGCAGCGGCAACATCTGGAGGAGTCCGCAGAGAGAGAGAAGCTGCTGGGTTATTTGGAACAGCCCATTATGGCAGCTGTGGGGAGTAACAATGCTGGCACTGGCAACATGCCCACAGTCAAAATACGGAAAGTAGCAGCTGCACCGCCTGCACCGATATACAAAGGTACCATCAGTGTAGGATATCTCCCAAACTTAAAATGTTCTCGTTTGTTTGACCTTTTGTTCTAAAAAAGACATAATGATATGTAAATAGTTTAATGTTTTAGCAATACAAATTATAGCTTTATAGTCAGAAACAGGATGCTACAGTTTACGTCTTCAATCCTTTACACTCCCAGGTTTCAACAGCACTGAGACAAAGATCCGGACTCCCGATGGGAGAGTTTGGAAGGAGCAAGAGTTCCATAACCTCAGCAGAGAAATATACAGAGACCTGTCACGACAGTTTGTTGGTAAGCATAGGACACGAACAGATTCTTAGCAAGCTAATGATTGCACATGAATGCATGGCATGAAAATGTATTGATCTCTCAGAAGCGCAAAAAAAAAAATAAAAATGTATTGGCTGTTTTTCCACAAAGGAGTGTTGCATAAACAAACAGGATTTAGGCTCATGGTCTTTGGTTTATAACATCAGAGATTTTTGGGCTTGTTTTTCAGCCAACTGACAGCTTTTTAGCTTAGAAAGTTTTGTCAGTTTGTGTTGCTCATTCTTTGCATTTGTCTTCTGTGCACAGAGAGCACCAGATCAAGACATCAGCAGCAGAGGGAACCGAGAACAGACAAGTCCAAAGAGAGGAGGCCTCCCAAACCAGTCAGGAAGGTCCATAGATCGGCTCCTTCCTCTGACCTTAATGCAAAACCAGGTATAATAATCCTCTTTTATGTCTGGGGGCCAACACACCCTTTGAGTTATTTTCCATTAGTGACATCAGGAAAGCTAAATATGTGGAACAATCTGGCAGAATTTTATTATGGGTCGGTACATATGGACCAAAACCAGGAGCTCCAAATGTTGAACTATCGTTGTGCTTAGAAGGCTTTTCCTCAACTGGCTGTGCTGCTCTAGTGTCTGTGAGACAATGAGAGTGATACAGTCTTATCAAGTGCTAACTTTGTTTACATTCAAGCTAATTAACAACAATTAATTATTTAATTTGAATGTAATTAGTGTGATAATGTTGTAAATTCAGTAGACAGACTGTAGAAGCCAGTGTTCAAACTACAGTATTGTGTGTTTTCTTTCCATCTACACGGCCTGTGTGTGTTCTTGTACATGAAGCAGATAGATTGCTGGCTCCTAAAGCAGTGTTAAGACTCTTAATCCCTGAAGAAATGTTCAGTATGTGTGAAATGCAGTTTGTGTAGCATACAGACACCCACATAGAGGAATCATAGCCACATACTGCTGTATACTGGGCATAGCAGACCTTGGATAGCCCATTCACAAAGATGCTTCCAAAGGCACACATGTAAACATGATTGCTAGATATCTTTATCTCTGAGTCTGTGTAGACCACAGTACCAAAAAGTGTAATCTGGATATCCTGGAAGCTGGTTGTAAAATATACCTCTCCTATTCTCTAGCTCTCGTTCACTCTGGGCCTGGTGTCTACTTGAGTTTATTCCAACTTTTGTGCTGTCTCTAAAGTTTGGCTGTTCTCTCGTTGGTGCTGGAACAACACTATAAATAGCCCTCTGAAATCTGTGGCCAGGTTCAGTTGCTCATCTGCTCAGTTACAAACAGCTGCTTAGTTAGTGGATGCACAACTTCATTACCAGGAACTGCACTCCGGTAGAATACAGTCACAGTGAAAAGAGCTCTAGCGATTAGCCCATGTAAAGAGACATTGCTGCTTTTGAAAATGTAATTTTCCAACACTCCTGATCACCACAAATGCAATCCTACACACTCTCATTGTTCTCTAATCTTTGTGTATATTTATTTTCTGGCAACTTGCTTCGGTGGTGGTGTGCCTGCATATGTGCAAACACATGCAGTCATGTTCCATGAGGTCAACATGAACCATATTGAATTACAATGCTCTCTCCTGGCATGTCATTGTAGCGATTAGCCCTGCGTCGTGGCGGGAGGGCCAAAAGCTGGTAAAGATGGTACTGGGTCCAGTTCCCAGGCTGCCCAGGGAGGAGGACAGATCCCAGCCAGCTGACAGACTGAGCAGAACAGGTGGGACATGGAGACCTGTACTCTACCCTTCTATGCGTGCCGCTACAGCCCTATCTTATGTTAGGCCAATTCATGAGACCAGCAGCCAACCCAGCTTACTTACACAGTCGGGTCTCGCTCGGCTTGATGTACTGTCACTAACCAGCGGGTCAAGATGTAGAAAGAACATAGGTCATTGGCTTTAAAGAGCCACTCAAAATGTGTCGGCTTGACATCAAAAATGTCTTCTCTGCATTATTTAAGTTGAGTGGCATGTAGGACAAGACTTGATCACCAAGTGTGAATTACTTGTTACTCTTTTACTCGTCTACCTTCCCCCTCTTCCTTCTTTCAGACATCTTGGGTCCTCATTTTACTTTTATCTGTTTTCTCATGTTGCTATCGAACTTTCACCTCTAAAATTAAACACACACGTCTGTACTCGTTGTTATTACCATGTATTTGGAAGATGTTGTAAAATACATATATGTAGCCTTTTATAGAGGTTTTGCATGTCTGGGACTCACAGACTGAAACACCTGCCAAAGAATATGAATAAATAAAGAGTCTTTGGCTGCTACTGGTCACACAGCCTCAGACACTCCCTCATAGTCCCAACGCTACAGGTTACCATTGACCGGAAGGAATATAGATAGACTGGCTGTTCTGGTTGGCCGCACAATTAGACAAGGCCTGATTTCCAGAGACTACAGAGCAGGGAGAGGCTCACTGCAGCCATGTTATGAAAAAAAAAAACTGTCAGGATTAGATACTTAGAATCTAGATGGGATTTTTCAATTTGGCCCAGATTAGAGTTTCCACGGCAAGCCTGCCCCACAAGCCTCATCTAGTATGTGTCTAGCTTTTTTAACAGTCACTTGTTGGAACATCCAGTGTATTGTAAGCTGCAAAAACCTGTTTATTGAACATATTAATCATAAATAAACAGGAAAACAGTTAAAAGGATTGTATAGCCTACTGCTAGTTAAAAAAAGCAAATTTAAAATGTTCACTGTTCCATCAAACTAGCTTCCACTTCAAAGGCTTAGTATAGCATTGAACTATTTAGAAAGTGTGTGCTTGTGTTGGTAAATGTTTTGCCCTGTGTCCACCAGCTTCCCGTCACCGCTCCAGCTCAGGCCCACGCTCAGAATCAAACCCAGAGCTTCGCCCGAACAGCACAGAAGGTCCTCGACGTGGTTTTCAATCCAAAAGCCACTCCACGACCACATCTACACCCTCATCTGCAGATCGGCAGAAGGCTCCAGTGGGTGTAAGCACGGACCTGTTGTCAGCAGACATCCAGGGGATACTTAATGACCTCCAGCTGGAGTGTAAAGCAGCTGAGAGGGAGGAGAGGTCCCGGCAAAGGACCCGGGGAGGGAGCAGCGGTACGAGAGGGAGGGGGGGATCGGGGTCACGAACAAGGGCTTCAGTCTCTGTTTGGGGAAATACGGTGGCAACAGGAAGCTACCCAAGAGGCTGCCGCAGCGCCAGCCCCACTGCACACCAGTCAGAGACTGCGGACACTGGGCAGAAAAAACGACACTATGATGCAGACACCGTTCGCCAATACATTTCCAGGCAACAAGAGGAGAGAAAGAGGCGACGAGCAGAAGAGAAGAGGGCACTGAGGGACGAGGCGGAGAGTAGAAACCAGAGACTGCAGGACCTCTACAGGAAGCAAAGAGATGCGGCTAAAACAGTGGCCCTTCCTAGCGAGGCGCTTGTGGCCCCCGTACAAAAGCGACTACAGGAGACCTACACCAAACTGCTTCTGGAGGAGGCGCAGCTGGACGAGGAGGCCACACAGATGCAACCAGCTGCTCCTTCTAGTCAAATGGTATTGTACATACGCGTGACACATGGTTACACTCTATATATATATATATATATATATATATATATATATATATATATCTATATATATATATATATATATATATATATATATATGTCTATATATATAGATATATCTATATCGATATAGATATGTATGTATAGATAGATAGATAGATAGATAGATAGATAGATAGATAGAAGCTGTATTGGGTAGAATGAGTAACTAAGTGATATTTCTTAATGAAAATATGTAAGATAAAAAAAGATGTTTGACATGCGTGTTCACACATGTTCTGCCACAGAGACCGATGTACCAGCCCTCAGGAGAGTCGGACAAAGAGAACAAAAGACTAGAGGCACCGCAGAGTCCCTCGAGCAGCGATAGGTCTTTGAATGACCGGCCACCTCCTCCATTATCCAGGTACACACACACACACACACACACACACACACACACACACACACTCACAAATCTGCCTGCTCAACTCCATCACTCTCCAGAATAACAAACACTACGATTTGTTGACCGTGACAAACGGCAAACTAACCAGTACAACAACAGTACACACATTCTGGTATCAACTGGAAATAATGGTCCTTAATCCTTATGACGGGTCTGAACCACTTGTAAATAGTTTTGGTACCTAAGCCAAAATTCAAAATAGGAGAAAGTGAATGCGGTGGTGAAACTCTTAAAAGCAACTTTAGATGCATACTTATGCAAGCGGTTGTTGCATGAGGCCCAGTGTGTGGGCGAGAAATTCTAGGGAATCATCTGACTGCACCAAACAGAGAAAGTGTTTGTTCCCAGGTGGTTAGCTTTCCGGGCACTTTTACAGTCAGTGCTTCTCAGATAATTGACTGGAAATAAAGATGATTGCGTGGTCATGGTTTTACCTTTGAAACGGATAAAATAATAATCTTTCTCTGTGTGTATTCGGTGATTATAGTTATTGTCATTTAAAGTTTTCATCTAGCTGCAGTCGGCTCCATCCTGTTCATTATGCTCCGTACCATTAGCATTTGCATATCAGACTGGTGAAAACATTTCTTTGCTTCATTCAAACTAAAGTTGCAAAAATATTTTTGCTGTAGTACATAAATGTCTTTTTGCGAGGGAGAGCTGACACAAATGTCAAATAAAAGTTGCTTTTACAATACCCCAAATACCCAGAATGGTTTAATTTGAACACAGTTTAAAGCAAGCCGTTTGCATCTCTATTTCTCACTCCCTTTAACTTCTCCATCCGTTGTTGCTCTCCCCATTGCAGGAATGATCTGGATATTGGATTTGCCTCTCTGCTTCAGCCTGACCGTCTGAGCCCAGCTGGTCTACCTACGACTGGTCCCAGCAGCAGTGGGTTAGCCCCTTTTGGTGATCATCTCCTCTCTCACCTTCTCAGGCTGGAGACCGCGGTGGCAGCTAGAGACCTCCAGCACACCCAGCGGCCAGCCACAACGCCTCCCAACAGGTCGCGGTCCAAGGTGTCCCGCATCGAGGCCCTGAAGGCCACAGCCACATCCCTCTCCAACCGCATAGAGAGTGAGGCACGGAAGCTTGCTGGGGAGGGCATCAACTATGGTATTGAAACGTCAATGGACGTGGATAATATGAGACCCTCTCAAGCTAACCTTGATGATGGATGCTGGGCAGAAACGGCTGCCCCAGAAAATGATGACGTAGCCTTGAGGATCCAGAGGATTTTGACGAGCACAGGTCATAGTTCATACAATGGCACGGCTCTACCGGGAACAGGCAATCTGCACGCCCTCAGGGGACAGAAAGAAAAGAAAGGCACACACACCAATTTGACGAATCCACAAACAACTGCTGCGGCTGTGACAGGGCCAACTCTCAACAGTTACACACATGAAAGGAGGAGGCTGGTCAACGGGCTGGACAAGGTAGAGAGAGTGGAACAAAGGACAGGGTGTGGATTGATGGATGACCAGGAGAAGAATCGGACAGATCTCCACGACTCAAGTGCCGGTTCCATCAGCGAGGGTCCTCTTCTGAGTGAAGGGAGTTTTTCTGAGGATGAGGCAAGCCCTCCTCTCCCCTCCAACAATCGTTGGAGGGGAGAGGCAGCGGACTACTGCGTGGGTCAAAGAAGGGATTACCAGCGGTTGTCAGAGTTCCAGAGAGAGGCAGCGAAGCGCTCGGCCCTCAGCTCACCCTTTGCACAGCATGACGGTAACAAAGCAGCCTGGGAGGAGCTGAACAAAGGAAGCCCTCTGAGTGTAATCAACATTTTCACTAAGAATCTTCATGGCCATGTTCCAGGTTAGTTGTTGTTACTGAGTATCTATGGGTAAACGTCTTAAAGATATGTAACCATAAGAGCTACACAGAATGTTTATCACAGCAGAACTGACAAACTGACAGTCAAAGTCAAGATCATAAATATTTCTCCTCTGTCTGTTCTCCAACTTGTCCTGTAGTGAGTGAGAGGAACTCTCCCTCTGCCCATTCTTTACACTCTGCAAATGGTCCCGTAGACGCAGCCGTCTATGAAGATGATTTTGTGTCGTCACATAGCAGCGGAGCCAGTGGCCACTTGAAGAGAGGCTCCAATTCTCGCAGGTAAGCAAAAAAAAAACAGAAAAAGTTTTTAAAGTGACCACTGGATGGCATTCATGTCACACAAATAGAAAGCTCATGCAGCCCTTTCAGACAGAAATCCCCCTCTGCATTCTGGAGTTCAGAGATTTCTCCTGACAGGTTTCTTAGAATGAGGAGAAACCGGTTCATTCACTCTCAGACGGATCAACTCTGCCGTTTATCACATATTCACTAGAGATCATTTTTGTTTTGTGACACAGACCCTGAGTTTTATTTACAAGTGATTGGTCATACTTCTTTCTCCCCTCACTATCAGTGTGAACAGCCATTTTGAGGAGCTGATGAGGAGGTCTCCTTATGACAAAAGTACAGGAGGCATCAATTCCCAACATTCACCCTTTCACTCGTCTATACACTCGCCGCATCCTTCCTCTGGTTCAACATCTGGCTCCTCACCTTTCTCCAAGCACTCTGCCAGAAAAAGAGGTGAGAATGTACAATTTTAAATAATATCTTGGACGACACCTATTTTTTTTATTTCTATTAAATAAGATCTACAAATCCGTCTGCTGCACAATATAATTACTCAAATCCTCTGCAGGCACAGCATCAGACCAGAGTGATGGCACTCTGGTAGAAGAGCCGAGGAGCTCCTGCTCACCTCCCTCAGAGGCGTTATCCTCCGACTCCAGGAAGAGGGGCTCAGACAAAAGCTCCGCCCACAGCCAGACCAAGAGTGTCCCCTCTAATGACACTATAGGGGAAACTTCAGAGCTTTCTCAACAAAGGTAACAGTCTTTGTCTGACTACATTACAGGGGAGGTTTGTTACTTTAGGTTTAGTCTAATGCTGTAAAACTTTCCTCCTGCAAGGTTTCAATGTGAGCGTTTTTCAGTCAAAGCGTCTCTAAGATATTAATTTGAAGATGCATCAGTGTTTGAATTGCCCACACATGCAGTTGTCTCTGGTAGTTCCTTCCCTCTTGGTTTTCTGTAACCTTCAGTGGAACACTGCTTTGTGGGACGATCGGTGGTGCTATTGGCTTACATTGGGATATTTCTATGCTGTATTGTACATGGTAGGTTATAGGTGTTTCTTTTAGGGTCACAGGATGATTGTATTTCTTTATTTCCTGGAACTTTTGTTTTCACTGGATACAAATTAATATTAAAATTAGCCTGTGAGGCCGCGCTGTATTTCTGCTAAACTGAAATATAATTTAAACACTGGGTCATCTCAATTGTTGCTGTTCCGACCATTCAGAATCCTCCACATGATATATACTGTATCACACAGAGGCTAATTCATCTGGGCATGAATCACTTAACTACACTTGGAGAGCCCTAGATGAGGCTGCCAGTCTAAACAGTCCTGTGGCTTGCTGTCCTGAGGGTTTAAGCAGCTATTTAATGCCCAGGAACCAGAGGGGGCTGCATTTCAACCGAAGACAGAAAACACTGGCTATTTTGTTTAAGGGGGCCTGCAGGGTGGTTGGTCGGGTCAGCCAGCTTCACCACAGCTCGGGCCTGCAGCCAAAGGAAAGGAGAGAGTTTTTTTTATTTATTTAATCTCAGCACGCAGTCGTGACATTTGATCTCTCGAATGGTGTTCTAAAACCTAGGTGGCAGATTCCCCTTACAGCACCATTTGCAAAGAAGGTTGTTGGTTAACTTTGGTGGTGACTTAGTGTGTTTTCATTTCTTTAGTAACGGCATAAGTATCACTGTAGATCTCAATGAGCTTTGTAGGCTTTTGGCAGATTGCATTCATACACGTTTCTGTTATAATATATGAATTGATTGTTATCCTTGAAAAAATAAAGGTGCCACAGCCTGCTATCCTTATTGAGGAAGTAAAGTGTATCCTGATCTCTTTAGTCATCCTTGGCATCTGATAGTCTCTGAGCAGCACAATATAGCCATTCATAGTCTGGGCCTCTCACAGCAGGGGTATGCTGCCTCAGTCAGCTCAAGGGTTTGCAGCATGAGGGGCTCTTTCTTTATCATTTGGTTAACCCACTCTGCAAATCCTGTAGCATCCTTTTTTTTCCTGCATATGAATTAAAAAAATATTTTGGAATTAGTTTGTTTCAGAAAATAATAACAAAAACATTGTTTTTCTGAATCTCTGTGGTTTTAAAACATCTTGAAAGGTCATATATTTAAGTCTACAAACATCCACTTTCAAAGACATGTTGTGTGTTTTCAGTATTTGATCTACTTCCTTACCTGAGCTTTTTTTCTTTCTTATTATATTTGTAGTTTGGGTCTTGACAGTAAGAAGTCTCCAGCAGCCAGGCCCAAACAGGCTTCTCCGTCTGGCTCTCCATACCCTGGTTCTCCTCCGGAAGCAGCCTCTCCCGGTGAGCCTGTGAGAAGTGCCTCTCTGGGGGCAAATAATCCAAACGCAGGCGCCACAGCTCGCAGTGGTAGAGCCGAGCCCAAGACCACAGGTAGATAAAACTCATATTAATATGATGAACAGCAGACGTTATGTGAAGCAGAATTTCAAGATTGAATGTTCCTTTAGCTGAAGTCAGAACTGTAGCGATGAAGACAGAAAAGGTCTGACCCGTTCCACCAACAGATTATTAATCTCTCCCTCTCCGCTCTTCTTTTTCTCTCAGCCGAACTACAGTATTCACCTGCTGTCTTGCAGCAGCGTATGGCGGCAGAGCTCCAGTACCTGGAGTCCATCGAGGAGTCGGTCCGACAGCTGGGAGACGTGGAGAGGGTGATGGGTGTGTCCGTGGCGCAGCAGGAGAGCGTGTCATTGGCCCAGATGCTTAAGGTGAAGCAAGAGTAACAAAACTGTAGATATACGGTCTTCAAAGAAGCTCCGCCGTGTATTTAGCAGTGTTTAAAGTGTTACGATATCAACAGTTGTGTTTATTGTTAAACAATGTTTATGAAGCTTAATATTTTGATGATTGCAAGACCGCACACACTCTCAGCTTTGCCGTAAGTTATAACATCTGCACTCAATGTCATGTACAATACAAATGGAAATTACACCGTTAAATAATTCCCAATTTAATTCATCGGAAACTTAAATTATTTGTTGCTGCATCACATTTACATGATAAATACTGTAAGTGTTTTTTTTTTTTTGGGCCTCTATACATTTAAGTGACTTACTACCTGACTAATGTCTGTATTGATGCACTGTATTGACCTGCTCTCTGAACTCTGACCCTGCAGGCCAGGCAGCAGTGCCACGCGCGTGACCTCTATGAGCTGAAGATCAAGGCTGAAAGGGAAGCCCTGGAGACACAGCTACAGCTGGAGGAAAACAGGCAGAGAGTGGCCAGGGTACAACACACACACACAGTCCATCAGTTAGTTTACTCACACAAACAGTATGTATGCATTTGTAAATGATAGCTTTAGTGTTTGCCTCCTCACCTTTTGATTTCTAAGGTATGTGTGCTTTTTTTCTGTGCATGATGTCCGTGCTTGTTTTTTGTCCAGGCTCATATTGAACTGCAGGAAAACTTGGCGGCAAATCAAAAGGAGACCTTGGAGGGCCTCCAGGAGGCAACTACCAAGTTGATGACTCAACAGGCTGAGGCAGCGCGGTACACAGCTGACACTGCCCGACACATCAAAGAGGTTAGCAATCCCCTGCCTGGAAAACAGCCCATGTGATTTTGTAACAAAAGCCGATTGATTGTTGAGTTTCAGTAAAGAGATAACAATGCATGCAGAGGAGGAAAGGGTAATATCCAGCATAAGACTCATCAAATCAATCATTTGATTTGTGCATTGTGTTCTTGTCTGTCAGATGACAGAATTGGCACAGTCGCAGATAACAAGAGCTTTGGTTGTCTCCGCTGATGTTTCTGATTCCTCCATGGAGCGGGAAGAACAGCAGAGCTCCTATTCAAAGCAGCGAAAGGACAAAAATGACTCGGACAGGTGACATAAAAACACCTTTTTTTAATTGTACATTGCATACTGCCTTCCATTTTGAATTTAGTATCTGTTCTAAATGTTTGGGTCTCTTCTGCGTGCTCTCTTCCAGCTTCCCTAGTGAGGTGTCAAGCAGAAAGACCAGGCCAGAAGAACCGTTGTCTTTGCTGAACAGCCCCAGTCGCTCTGATTCTCTGTCCTTCAGAAGACCAAACCTCAGGTACAACTTAGGCCTCTTTCGTAGCACTAGTTACTCTGATTTCCATTAGATTTGGGGAAGAAAAACCTAATGATGCTAAATCTGTCCTTTGCCTCTTTCCCAGTGGAGGCGACTCTAGCAGTCAACATAGCCCGTCACATGCCTCGCCAGAGCACAGAGAACGGACGAAAAAAGAAGCAGTGGAGGGGCAATGGAGGAAGGGAGGAGCTGACGAGAGGGCAGAGAGGGAAGCGGGCAGCAGCTCCATAGAGGAGGAAGTTCTAACGGCAGCAAATGACTCCCTCTGCAGCGACAGCATCCCCTCTGCAGTGGACGAGAAAGGTATTGGATGGCAAGCACGGCTATTCGTTTAAAGTTAACATGCTTTTTACACACCAGTATTTCCCTCGTATTCACTTAACTGTCAGGGGCTGCTGTTATATAAATGTCACCTCCACTTAAAAACCTTATTTAATCCGTATTGAAGCCAAAACTGTGTGTACACAAGGCACCTAAAAATGTTATCTTATCTTATTTTTGACCCTCCAGGAGACAGTACGTCAGTGGCCACAGAGAACTCCCTCAAATTTGATGAGTCCATGACAGAGGATGAGATAGAAGAGCGCTCCTTCCGCTCTCTGCTGCCATCTGAGGCGCACCGCCGTGGAACTATGGAGAAGAAGTCCCGCCACCATGAGGAATCAGAGGACGACGGAGCCAATCACAACGCAACATTGGTTTCAGGGGCACACAATATCTTGAAGGTGAGAGCAGTGTAGCCTACAAACATTTGCCAATATATGTCATTAAGAGTCAGAGATTGATAATAGAAGGTGGGTTTTTGCCTGGATGTTCCTCGTTAAGCATGCGGGTTGTGTCACTTTACTTCTCTTGTTTTCCTTTGCCCCCCTTTTAATCTCCTTTTAAACTTTTCTGTCAATCCATTCTAACCTCCTATCTTTTTCATCTCCCGCAGTCTCAGGATGCAAACATGGCCTTTTCTGGCGGACAGGACAGCTTTTCCCAGTTCACCATGGACATGGTGCGTCAGTACATGAAGGACGAGGAGGTAAGACTGCAGCACCAGAGCTCTCTGCTGCATCTACGGCAGAAAGCTGTCAAAGAGAAGACCAGAACTGAGCTGGCCTGGCTAGAGCACCAGAAAAAGAGGCTGAGGGACAAGGGCGAGGATGACAAAATGCCCCCCATCAGGAAGAAACAGAGAGGCCTTCTGATGAAACTACAGCAGGAACAGGTACATGGGGGGGCAGAAATATAAGAACGTCAAGTGACAGTTAACTAAAGTGACTAACCAGCTTTTTCTCCCACTGTACTGCTGTTCCCAGGCTGAGATTAAGCGACTTCAGGAAGCCAACAAAGCAGCCAGGAAGGAGAGGCAGCTGTTGCTGAAGCAGCAGGAGGAGATTGAGCGGATGAGAAACTCTACACTCCGACTGAAAGAGCGTCTCAAATATGCTGGGGATGAAGAGCCACCTGTGAGTAGGGCTGGGCAATTACAATGCCAGCACCAATGCCAGTACCCTTAAAGTGATAGCGATACTAAAAGAGAGCTTCATTCGATACCCATCCTGTGAATGGATGGTTGCATATGCGTAGTTGTTGATGGAATCAAGAAATAAAGAATACTTATAACTGTAGAACATGCTGCCATGTTCCTCTAAAGCATTTTTTATTGTTGTTGTAATTTGCTTCACTAATACTTGGCCTGTCTGCATGTCCATTCATCCCTCCCCCAGGAGACTCCTGTGTCAGAAACCCCCGTGTCCGAGGCAGCCTCCCCCAACATGAGTCACCCGGATGATACCCGCAGCCCCTCTCCCTCGCTCTCCATCTCTGGAAGTGAGACCAGCAGCATCATGCAGAAGCTCAAGAAGATGCGCTCTCACATGGATGACAAGTAAAGACTTTAATTTTCCGATATAAATTGAGTTCTCACTGACAATCTGACAAAGTGTATTATCAGGAGTCATCATCCCTTATCACCTGCTGCCTTGGTCTGGCCCCTGATCACATAACACAGAGTATATGTTCATACAGACTTTGATCTGTTGTTACTATTTCCTTGCATAACACACTGTTTACACTTAGCCAGAAGTAGGGCTTTTATTGAAATTGGTAACGCTTAGTTTAGATGTGTTTTACAGCCGAGTGATTTTGCATTAAGTCATGGTGTGCTTTTTACGAAAGTGCCATTTCGTAATCATTCTACCACGATAAGTCAGAAATGTTCTAATTCTATACATAGGGTCTTTACTTAACTAATAGAAACTAATCGGTGCATGCCATCTTTCTTCTGCTGTCTAACATGCTGTGGCTGTGTGAATGTGAAGATAAGCATGCTCCATGTTGTTCTCCCTTTAAACTAGACCAGAATCCACTCTCTCTGCTACGATGCCTCCCTTAACTTCAGAGGCATGCAACCTAACAGTACTTTGTAGGAGGGTCTACGTACAGTTATCTGTTGCCGTCTTAAACAAATGTTTTAAAGCAAGAACATCAGACAATATTTAACCGTCTTAAATAATTGTAACGCTGTAATACTGCGTCTTTCAATAGCAGAAGCACGCTTATTTTACAGAAAAGGCAAACATCGGTTGTGCATTTCCATCATTTTTATTACACCCACTTCCTCTCGTGTTGACAAGTAACTGCATGTGTTTGGCGCTCCTGTACGTCCTCCAGGGTTTTCGACTGGGCCAACAACTTTGGTCAGGTGATTGGAGAGCCTCTCATGACCGGGTAGCTCCAACAAGTGGGTTAATTGTTCTGGGGTTTAGGATTTATAACTCTGCTATTAATCACAGGCCTTCCATGGTAGCTTTCAACATTTCTTGGTCTATATTTGTTTAAATTTGTAAAAGCAACATAATTTTGACGCATAATGAAGTTCAAAATCGCCACATTTAGGTTTAGATCACTGCAAAAAAATGATGAAGAAGGATCTAACAAAAAACGATGTGTGTCTGACGATGCATTTACTGGCTTGTATGTTTGCCATTTTAACAGACTACCACTTGTTTCTTCCCTTCCCTTACTCATTCTCTATTACCACTGTCCTGCAAAGCAAATGTACACTATATATTTATCTTGATGTGACACACAAACACATTTCATCTACGGTTGTACGCGTTACCTCACACTGTCATCAGGGTTACTGATAACTATCATTTCCCTCCATAAGCAGGTTTGACAGCGATCACACCTCCAGCAAACCCCCATGCTCGACGCCCACATTTTTGCTAATTTGTTCATGGTTTCCCAAAACATTTAAAAGAAGCCATATTCTTCCAGAAACCTGAATACTGACACCTCGGGTGCAACAAAACCACATTTGCTCATATCACTCTTCTCTCTCCCTTTCTCTCTACTTGTCTTTTCCCTCTGAGTCTGTTTTTAATGTTTTTCCCCCTCCTACATTTTGTGTTGTTTGTTTTCCATTCCCATGTTTGTGTGACTCTTCTGACTGTGTCTGTCGCGTGCTTGTGTGTTGTAGACACCGATCTCCCGTCCACTCCTTCCTTTCTGTGTTCACGGCCCACCACTGGGCCTCCCTCAGTGTCTGTCTTCACAACCTCCACCCTAAATTCCAGCTTTTTATCTACAACCAGTTGGTCAGGTACTGTACAGTGCTCTCTACCTCTTCTCCAGAACCTCCACCTAGCCCTGCCCTGCCCCCCCCCCCCCCCCCCCCACTCCATGGAACATGCTTGTGTTCACCTACTGGCACTGGGAACTTGTAGGGGAGGGACTGTGAATGATGACTGATCGGATGTGTTTGATTGCGTCCGGGATGGAATTGGTGGGGGGGAGAGTTTGAGTGAAAGCATGAAAAGTGCCCAAGGAAGGCTGCCTCCCTGAAAAAAAGCTAACCTTTTGACATGTTCACTCAATTTTTTTTTTATAGTCATAATAATGTTAGTGTGCGCATTAAAGCATTCTGTTTTAAACAAAATCACAAAGTGGTAACATTGAGAATAACAGAGGTGAGATGAATTCTGTTCTGTGAAGGTTAAAGGTTATGTTTATTTTAATAGGTGCCTTCCTTGTTGGATGGGGATCTCAGACTCAACTCTGGGATTTCACCGATTTCTGTGTTGTGTACTTTGTGACTCTTCCCCTCCTCCTTTCTTGCCTCTTGGAGTTAATGCTGCGGTGCATCTCTCTTTAATCTCCTTCATTTTACGGCTGCCGGCTGGTCGGCTCCAGCCCAGTCGTTGATACAAAATGTTTTGAGATTAAACCAGACTCTATAGCTATAGAAATACAGGACGTTTGCAGAGAACAGACCAGCGATAGAGTGGTCTATCTCTTTGATGAGCCCAGTCAATCTTAACTAGCCCTCTTTATTAGGTAACTGTTGCATAGGATTGGATAATAAGTACAGATGGCCATTGGTTGTAATAGAGTTTGGAAGGCACTAAAAGGCCCCCCCCCCCCCCCAGTCTGGTTCTTCAGTATCTGGCCTGTCATCAGTATACATTAGGTCAAGAGAAAGGCCGTTAAATTAGATCATGGCTAAATAATACCGCACTATAATGGCACCCGTAGCTGTGGGGGACCACATTTCCCAACAGCTATACCTGACTGCACTTTATTCTGGTCGGCATCTGCAGATATATGTGCTTTATGTTTAGAGACAAAAGACAAAAGAACAACAAAAGAACTAAGTCTTGTTATCCTCATTGGTCTACTAAATGGACACATTCATACAGATGTAACTGTCTATTTTGTTTAACTGCTGTTTATGTTTGAGGTGTGTGTGTGTGTGTGTGTCTGCACCCAATCAGCGTTCAACCCCTGGGTTTCAGTCCGATGCATGAATCTGACATCTTCACTGTTGATTTCCCTGCTCTCCTTTTCTCCTGGTTGACATGTCATCACTTAGTGCTTGTTTATTTGATTGGTGCTGATTCACTTCCTTATTTGGATGATTATTCCAGGGAAAGAAATAAGTAAAGCATGTATTGGGTGTGTATGTGTGTGTTCGACAGAGGTTTGAGGTGATAACTGGATGTCCAGGTGATTTGGGTCTGCTTGCATCTGCGATGTCATGTTTTCATTCCTTATGATAAATATGCCTTTGTCAAACTTCTCTTCTCTCCCTCTTTACTGCTACACTACCTTCTCCCGTCACCACCCAACTTCTTCCTGTCTCCTTCCTCATTTTCTCTCCTTTATCCTCCACTACTTCCTCATCTCCCCGTCCTTCCTACCCTCTCCAGGTTCCTGACAAAGCGGGAGCAGAAGTTAATGCAGAGGCGTCACCATGCTGAGGAGCTGCTGCAGTGGAAACAGCGTCTGGACCAGGAGGAGGCAGAGGTCCGTAGGATGGAAAAGGAGGCCCTGGCTGTATGGGACAGGCAAACACCTCGGGACATGTCGGAGAGCCAGAAACAGGACATCTCCAACATTAGCCCCAGCTCCAGTCACCATCGCAGCTCAGAGCATAGAACTGACGGTGAGAAAGGTGACGCAACATGATCCTAGCTGGTTTTGCCGTGTTTAAAGTCAAAATTAGGTCAATATTTATCTGGTAAAGCTCATGTTTATCTGTTTTACATGTTTTCAGAGTTTGTGAGCGAGGGCGACTGTTCCTCAGCGACACCCGAGTCCAGTATACACACGGAGGGACTTGTGTCCCAGCAACCAGGAAGCCCATCTTCAGTACAACATGTGTCGATCCCTGAAACACCTTTGGCCTCTGTGACGAGCAGCCATGCAAATTACACCCAGGACTTCACTTCAGCTTCCTGGTCACCGAGCAGAAAAGTACGCACAAGTCTGGTTTTTATTTCATTTTTGTATTTCCGTGTTTCGTCCCATCTGTTTGATGGTAGCTGAGAACGTTTTTAGTGTAAATATAGCTACTTTAAAACTGATCTCACGTGTCTGACACAAAGAATTTTGCTATTGTGAACACGCTTCATTCAACTTCATCCAAAGAATTTTGTGCAGATGCTGTTGGGGTTATTTGTAGTCTTTCATTAAAGTATTGAAAATACACAAAGCTTCATGTTGTGTGAGGGACATGCAACAGGGTAACTACACATTTGTTGGTTTATTGTGCATGTAAAATATTAATTCAGGCATGCTCCTATTTGTCCATCTGACTGTGTTGTCAGTAATATGCATTTCTCTTCCGCTCCTCCTCCTGCTGTTTAGTCTCTCCAGTCTCCACTCAAAGGCAGCCACAGCCCGTCTGCCTCTCCTTCCGATGGCAGCAGCAAAACCAAGATGCAGCTTCGCTCCTCGTCCCGGACCGCCAACCAGGCCCGCGCTCAGCCAACTGAATCCCCCATGCCCATGCAGACTGGTGAGTTACCCAATGATTCAACACGCATACACCGAATGTGTAATATTTTTGGGGGTGTATTATAGTTCCTGGTAGTTCTCAAACAAGATAGAAGGGGATAAAGAAGCGAGCGTGGAAATAATGCAGCTGTATTGCTGGCGCTCTGTAGTCGGGCATAATGTGATGCTGCCAGGAATACTTAATGCAAGCACTTCCCTGATACATAACCTGCTTAGCTGTGTGATAGCATGAGAGAACACTTTGCATTGGACATAGCTACTGCACAAGCAAAGACGGTTCTGCTGGCCCTTCATTGTAGCTGAATGTGTTTTATTCATTTTCAGGCCACTGTTTAAACCTTGGACTAATCTTTGTAACACTGTTGGTTCATTGTGTACAAGCCAAAGCAACATGCACACAAAATGACACATTCTTTGTACAGAAAATGTACACTAATCTCAAAAGAATTGGGTTTGTGTTCCGAGTGGGTACAAAGTTGGATTACCCTCTGCTAATCGGAGGTCTGGCACCGGTTTCACATTCTAACTGTGATTTGTCTTTCAAATTTCCCTTCAGAGCCCATTTCGGACCAGAGTGACATAGAGAGCCGTATCAAGGCCCTGAAGGACGAAGTCAGAAAACGAAAGTTTATGGCTTACCAGCTAAAGAAAGAGCAGAAGAAGAGGCACAAGGAGCGCCTGAAGGCACAGGAGGCCAGCCTACTGAAGCAGCTCGAGGTGTGTGTGTGTGTGTGTGTGTGTGTGTGTGTGTGTGTGTGTGTGTGTG